CATACATACATACATACATACATACATACATACATACATACATACATACATACATACATACAGACAGACATACATGGACTAATTAATTGACCATTCATTCATTGATCCATTGATTGACCCATCCATCCATTCATCCATCCATCCATACATACATACACACTAATGAATTGACCATCCAACTATCCATCCATCAGATGTAATAATATAATCCATCCATCATCTTTATCCGCTTCTTCCTTTTTGGGTCGCGGGGCTCGCTGGTGCCCATGTCCAGCAATCACCGTGCGAGGGGCAGGGGACACCCTGAACAGGTCGCAAGTCCATCACAGGGCCACATAGAGACAAACAACCATTCATTCTCTCACTCACACCTAGGGACAATTTAGAGTTACCAATCAGCCTAACATGCATGTTTTTGGTCTGTGGGAGGAAACTGGAGTATCCGGAGAAAACCCACGCATGCACGGAGAGAACATGCAAACTCCATCCAGAAAGTTCCACGGACCGGGATTTGATCCGGCACCCTTCTCGTTGAGAGGCAGCAGCTCTACCAGTTGCACAAACTTTTCACTTTACTCATATTTTTATTATATATTTTTTCACTGAAAACTAAGTTAATATAAATAAAAGTAATTAAAGTAAATAAAGATGTTAAGTAAAGTAGTTAGTTTCTATTAATTGTCTAATGAAGATTGATACGTTTCAGCTGTATTAAGAGTTAATGCAGGACTTGTCAATTTTACAATTCTAATATTTACCTTTTGAAATTTATTTTGAAATTTGAGAACCAGCAGAGATTTTTTTATCTAGCAGAACTATTTCACATACTGAAAGAACAAAACAAAAACAGGCAGAACCTTGACTGCAGCATACATGCATTTCTTTTTGCTTTTAAAGCCTTACTCAGGACATCTGATACAACCCAACCAACCGGTAGCTTTTTGTGTACTTATGACTTCTTTTGTCTTGTGGCTGCTGATTAGTTTACTGAATTAAAATGCATATTTTTAAAATCTCTTCTAGATAAACTTCAGCCAGCCTGCCTGCCACTTTATGGCCAGGAGTTTCGAGATGGAACCAGTTGTTGGACCTCAGGTTATGGGACTACTGTGTCAGGTTCAAGTAAGATGGGACAACAAAGCCACTCTGTATACTGTGACACTGTTTGATTCTTTATCTCACTGAATCCCCATTAGTTTCTTCTGTATCTCATCAAATACAAATTATATTTAGCCATGCTATCCTGTTTATATGCAACTGCAGATGTTTCTTTAAATTTAAAGTCCTTTCTGAGTTGTACTGTGCAATTTTGGTCATTGAACAACTAATTTTATGTAAGGCAGTGTCCTGTAAACATTGATGAAGAAGGTAAGGTGTGAGACACGTAAACAGAGAAAAAAATAAATGCTCAGATTGTTTAGTTATTTGATTTATTCATTAATGGTGGCTCTATGCATCCAATCAATCCATCCATCCATTTTTGCCATTTACCTGGATGCAAAGGCAACAGGCTTAGAAGAGAAACCCTACATCGAGCTCCCCTCGATGACCGAGCTCCTAATATTTTTATGTCTGAGCCAGGCCACTCTATGAGAAAGTTCATTTCAGCAGCTTGAATCCAGGATCTTGGTGTTATTTTTAGTCATGATTTGTTCCTCATGACAGTAAGTGAGGCCTGGAATGTAAACGGACCAGTAAATTGAGCGCTTTGCCTTTTGGCTCATCTCCTTCTTTACCACAACAGATCAGACAATGGCACTTACCCATCAATCCACCTCCCACTTCCTCCTTCAATCACTCGTGAACAAGACACAATCTTTTACACTTGAGGCAGAGACTCTTCCCTGGTGGCTCTCTGCAGAGAATTAGATTGTATTATTTCAAAAATGAAGCACATATAATGATTGGGACATATAAAAGACATTCAATGAAAGGGACTGCGAGCAGTTAGGGAAAGAAAATAAATAGGTCAATTTTAAGTGAATGCTAAAAAGAAAGCAAATTAAATGCATGGACTAGTTGATTGCACTACAAACAGTTACAAATTTCAGTGTAAGTTCATATGTGTGATCAGTTTCTGTTAATTTGTTTAAGGCACGGTCTCCACTGATCTGATGGAGGTGTCTGTGGACATCATTAGCACAACAGCGTGTAACAGCCCCAGTGCGTACTCTGGCGCCGTGACCAACACCATGATCTGTGCTGGGAAAATGGAGGGAGGCAAAGACTCGTGTCAGGTGAGCGGCCATAACCACAGGACGAATTCACAAATAGATGAACTCTTCCCTGGGTATTCATCATATTTATTTTTCTAATGGTTTAAAACAAAGCAACATTTTCAAGCTTTTGCATTTCAAATGAAAAGTGCTGAGTTCCAAGCTCTCTATGATTATCACTGACTGTGGTTTGCAATAATTAGGGTGACAGTGGAGGACCGTTGGTGTGCCAGAATCAGGGAGACAGTCCTTGGTACCTGATAGGGATCACAAGCTGGGGAGCTGGATGCGGGGAACAGAATAAACCTGGAGTTTACACCAAAGTCAGTGCTGTTTTGCCCTGGATCTACAGCACCATGCAGGTAGGAAAACTAAAAAAACAAACAACAAAAAAAAACATGTTTGATGCTCAGATGATAAGCATGTGCATATTCTTATCATGTCTTCTTTTGCTCCCCTGCAGCAAGAGAGACCTTGACGTCCCTTCAGCTTTCACACTTGTAAATGAAGCCTGCACTACAAAGCCATCTTTGATCAACCACCTCATGTAGCGTTTTAAAAACTCACAAGATGAGGCAAACTGTTCAAGCTAATGAAGTCCAGCATCTTGTTTTACACACAAGACAAAACTCATTGTATTTTCAGAAATCAATGCCCTGATATCAGTGTTGCATTTTTAATCACTTTATATCTGTCTTGACTTGGGGGTTTGATTCTTCCCAAGGTTCGTCAATACTGAATGGGTTTAAAAGGTTCAAACATCTCATACCCTTTTTATTGTGTGTATTCTGCACTATTAGCCACTTTTACTGGAAGCTTATATGCCTAAAAAATATACTTAGGAAAAATTGCTTTTGGTTCAAAATACTCTGTTTTTTTTTTTTTTTTTTTTTTTTTTTTTAACAAATAATAAAACAACACTAATTTGATTTGGGAACATAAAATTCCCATTTTTCTTGCTGTGTATTGTGCATTTTTCACCAGAGCATAATATATTGTGATGATTAAAAGAAAAAAAAAAATCCTTATGATTGAGTCATTATTTGGCGAGCACAGTGGAAGTGGAGAAAGAAGGAGAGAGGCAGAGGATAGTGACAGGGGGGATTCAGCACAGTGGGCGAGCAGCTGCTCCAGGAGCCACATTGTTATCATCACCTCTTATTTCTCCAGGATTACAGCTGGACACGAGCAGCAGATGAGAAACCTTGAAAGAAAATCTTGCTGAAACAAGCTGATTTATTTATTCATCTTCTGGTTGGACATTTCAGCCAAAGACCTGCCAGAGAAAAACAACAGGCAAGTTGATATTTAATTTCTTACATGATGTGATTATATTTTCAGTCAAAAATGTCTGTTTGACGCCTGAATGGAGCATATTTTATTCCATCTCCTGGAAGAGAACAAAATAATACAAAGGAATGGTTTAGTTTGATTTTTTGATTTGGATAAAGAACGTTTTTTTAATTAAATACATTCAAGTCACGTGTGTGTTTGCGACATGCAGCGTTTAAAAAACACGGACATGTAATTAATGTTGCTTTCACTTGTTTTTATGTATTTATTATTATTATTATTATAGCACGAGGGTGTGTCTGCTGTTTGCCATGCTCAAAACGTTTGCAAATACTACTAATAAATAACAGTAATTGATTAAAAAAAATATAAAAAAAACAAGTTTGACAACAACTGTCTTGGGGAATTTACATCAAGTCGCTTTGAGGATTTTCATGAAGGCGGACTGGGGTGGGGGGGGGGGGGGGCATTGTTTTCCACCACCTGAAACGAGCCACAGGTTGAGGAGCGAAAAAAGTGCACGAATGCGTCACGCGGCGGATTTTAAACACGTCTCGTGTGAAACAGAAGGTCTGAGCTACAAGACGATGTTAAGAGCAGGAGGTTCAGGTCATCGAGAGAACTTGAATCAACAGATGACTACGCCTGCGCTGTATTCTCTATCGATCTTAGTTATTTTACGGCGGTGCGGGACTTTGAAGGCGCGCGCCACACCCCTCCTCCACGATCTATTACAAATATTACATTTATTGTGACACGAGACTCGTTTCTCGTTTCGGCGCCACAAGTTGGGGGGATGGTGCAGTTGTTGCCATGGAGATAACCGGACACTAACGCACGCTGTTGTCATGGAGACGGAACATCAATTTAATGATGGCAGATATTTCGTGGTGCCAGGTTTAGGTTTATGTTCTGACCTATTTAGATGCCCCACATAAAGGTGGCGATGAAACGGAGATCACGTGACGGATGTTGGGGGCGTGGTTTCATGTGGAAGCCTTCTGTCTCTTGAATATTGTTTTATTTACATTTTCATAAAAAAAATTTAAAAACTTAAACGTATGTTTTTTCTTCCCACAATGATTTTTTTATTTTTTATTATACAGCCAATACTACGGAAATTCTTACTTTCTTTGTTGTAACATATTGTGAAAATATTATAAAATATTATAATAAATCCATCCATCCATTTTCTTCCGCTTATCCCGGGTCAGGTCGCGGGGGTAGAAGCTTAAGTAAGGAGGCCCAGACTTCTCTCTATAATAAATATAATATAATATTATTTAATATTTTATTATTATTAATATTATTAAATATTGTAAAAAAATCCTTGAACTGTGTTAGTATTTGAAGTACAGTAATTTTTGTTGCATTAGTTTGCTTTATTATTAAGGATAATAAAGAATGTGGGAACCCATACAGTAGGTGAGCGTGTAGGGCCAGCATGCAGTGAGGTGAGCTACGTTTTTTTTTTATTAATCAGAGCAGAGAAGAAGGAAACTCAAATGTTTGTTTTATCCCTTGATGTAAAAGATTAAAACAAACATTAAATATGAACAATTTTGATTTAGACTTCATTTTTGGTCTGCGTTGAAAAGCAGCCCTGTTGCACTAGTGGCTTTTACTTCTCTTAAATGGTTTGAGCTTGAAAGAAATCACCACTACACCGATTAATGTTTTCTTTACAATCACCTTCAAATTTCTTCTTGTCGTTCACTAAATGTGCAGAGCAACAATATGCACACCTTTAGTTTTAATGCTGGCTGCATTTATCCTTGAAATGTCACTCGTCCTTGCAACAGACTGCCTCCCCACTGTTCTCTCCAGCTCATACATCTCCTTCTGCATGCCCTTCACCTGGACTCCCCCCCAGACTGTGTTTTTCCTCTGCTTGTCTGACTGTCTGTGTCCCTGCACGTTGCAGAAATCTGCTCACTCTTTTGTTTTCCTATTCCTTTTTGGACAAAAAGGGTTTAAAATTTGATCTTGTTGTATAACAGTTTACACATGGGATTGTGGGAACAATGAAAATCCCTCAGGTGGCGCTGAACTAACTCTGGAAACAATAAATAGTGCAGCACCAGTGAGTGTAAAAAACACACAGAACTGACCCACTGACTTATTTCTGTGTATTTTATTATCCATCCATCCATCCATCCATCCATTTTCTTTACCCGTTTATTCCATTTTGGGTCACGGGGGTTGCCGGTGCCCATGTCCAGCAATCACTGTGTGAGGGGCGGGGTACACCCTGGACGGGTCGCAAGTCCTGGAGAAAACCCACGCATGCACGGAGAGAACATGCAAACTCCACCCAGAAGGGCCCCGGACTGGGATTTGAACCAGGGACCAGCTCGCTGAGAGGCAGCAGCTCTACCAGTTGCGCCACCGTGCTGCCCCGTATTTTTTTTTTTTTTTTTTTTTTTTTACATATATGGGTCAAAAATATTCTCATGAAGAGTCTGAACATTTCCTAAAATCAAATTTAGTTGTAAAATAGTAACACAATTTGTCATAACCATGCATCACAAAAGTAAAAGAAAAAAAAAAACAAGTAAAAAGTGTAATGATTATTGAAGCTGCTTGTTGTGTGGGTTTATTTGGTTTGTTAGTAATGTTTGTGTACTTCAACCAGTGAGTGTTGGGGTTATAAATCTCTTCCACTCTTATTTAATAGGTCATAATCATTGCTTTGACCAGTTCATCCTAAAGAAAAGTGATGATTTAGATGGAGTGTGTGTAGTATTGTCACATATTGTGCGTTATAATCATTGAAGAATTTATTCTCCACTCCAGATGAGCCATAAAAGTAAATCAAACAAACAAACAAAAATACAATTTGTCATAAATTCTTGGCTTAAAGAGCAAAATTAACACCCAAACTGACAAATGACAGTCTTACAATAAAGCTCTTAAAGCATCTATGTCTCAGTGAATGTCCATATCTGTGTTAACTCCTTCATCACAGTGCATCTGGACCATTATCTACAGCATTTTGTTTTGAACTTTCACTTTAAATTTGTCACATATTCATCACAAACATTTATTGTCTCATTTTAAATGGACACATCTTTTGACAACTTTTGTAGAACTGCAATTTAAATACTACTAAAATAAATGAACAATTAACCAATTAGCTCCTATTAGCTCTTAGAAGTAGTAAGTTTTGGACTTTCATTCAGGCAACACTTTGTCAAGTCAAACTTTATTAATAAAGTTATTCAGTGCTTAAAGGAGCCCAAAAGACTTCTCTGCTATAAATATTGTCACTTCACTACTTGCTCTCGCCGAGATCCGATGCTTCTCCCCTCCCTCTCTGCTTTGTGCGCTGTCTGTCTGTGAAACTGCTTATGAGCCTCTCTTGCATATCCTCCGAACCATAATTATGGACTTGTTTTGATCAGTTGGACCCTCAACTCAATTTACAACATTTCTTCAAAGAGAAGACAGACTTTAGGTGAGCCGATTTACCCTGTTGGCACGCACGCAGCTGGATATCTCATCGACTGGAAGACTTGATGATGTGTCTATCTCTGCTGCCATCTGTGGATTTTAAGGACGCACATTTAATTGGATTTACGATAACTGGTTCCTACTTTTTGGATTTGGCTGGTTGCTGGTTTTATCTACAGTCAAGGAAGTCGTCGGCAGCAAATATGGACCCGATCACGCTGCTTGCCTTTATGATGGCTTGGTTCGTGTCTCGAGTACCTGGACTCAAATGCTTTGGGCTGAATGGATCAGATCTTGTGGATTTTACTCAGTCACGTTCCATCGGTGTGGCCATGTATTTTGGACATTTCAGAACCAAGTCGACCAACACAGACTAAAGGTAGATGTCATTAAGTTCTGCCTGTCCCCAAAACAACTGTGTGTTTATCTGAAGTTGGCTCCCTTGGCTGGCCTTGAAGGCCATCTTATCTGAATTTGCCTGGAGTACATGTGATCTGACACTCACCACCCCCTCCCTGAGGAATTTCCAACTGATAACCAGATGGAACCAGCTGAATAAATGTTGTGTCATCATTTCAGGACTCTTGGATTCTCATAGACGTTATTCTTGGCCATTCCTCGACATACCTCGAGAATGTTTATGGATCTCACCGGAGGACATTGACTGATTTTCCATCCTTATCAGAACTCTTACAGTGACCTCGAGAGAGAGCATCTATGAACATGCTGACTGATCTCGTCTCCTCCGTCTGCAGAAATGTCTACGTTAC